CACATGCTTCCATGACCATCACAGCAGAAGCGAGCACTGGATGGTCTCACACTGGAAATTAAATATTCTAGCAAAGAAGTGACACAAGTCACTTCCAACATAAACCTGGAAGGAGAGAAAAGTAGCTAGGGAGAACATGAACAATCTCTACCCCTGGTGATATGAAGACCAACAAGTTGTGGGATAACAAAGGGATTTGTTAAAGAGGGTGCTCCAATAAAACAACTACATAGCTCTAAGGTTCTCAAATCCTAGACCTGGGAGGGTGGTATAGGGGTCATTTTAGAGTAGTGGCCTCAACATGAAGGCATCTCAAACAACACAAACCTGGACTCTGAATTTTCAGGGCAACTCTGCTTTTTTCTCTAACTGTACTGAGGGTCCAGATAAGTTTTTATTTAGGAAACACAAAAAAAGTTTCTACAGCTGAAAAACATTTGAAAACCACTAATGTAAACCAAATCCTTTGTTTTACAGATTAAAAAAAGTAGACAGAGAGGGGAAAAAAGGGAGGCCCAGGAAGTTAAAGTGACCCCACCCCATCCCCAGGAAAGCTCCTGAATGTTTAGCAGATGTCCTCTGACAGATTTGCTATACCATTGACCACCCTCTGGCCTTACCCTTCATCTCTGCTCCCTTTAACTGGCACAAGAGAGACAGACCCAGACCAAGATCATGTCACACAACAAATGGTATGGACCATAAGTCGTCCCCACCCTACTGCACTAAATAATGATTCACATCCCATTAGCAATTCTCTACATTACTCATTCCCTACTTCCTGGCAAATGTGAAGCCATTAGTAGAAGTTAATACTAACCTTCAGGAGACTTTCATTTTGTTCTCAGAAGAACAGGTTAACAGCCAGCTATGATCTGTATTCGCTCAATTCCATTCTCTTCTCATGTTCCCAGCTCTGCTTTGTGCCCAGCTTTTCCTCCACCTTCATTCACACTAAACACTGGGTGTCACATACTTAAGCTTCAGTGGTCTTCTAACCTCCAGTCTCTGTCTTTTTCAAATCATCTTATACTTGCTAGCCCATGAAATAAAACTCAAACTTTTCAACCTGGAATCGTTACCTCCTCAATTTTACCCCAGCATACTTTTCCAACATTCTCTCTGCTGTAGTACTTACCCTGCCCAGCCAAAGGCAAGATGAAGGGCCTGGCAGTCAAAATGACATAGTAATGAATCCTAGATCTTGTGCAAGTTCCTTAATCTGAGTTCCAATGTTCTCTCCTATAAAATTGGTATGATGGTGTCTACTTTGAGAAGCTCTTGAGAGAGTATAACAGTGAGGATTATGTCTGACTACAAGCAACAAATAGTGGCTTGCAAGTAAGAAGGTTATTTGTTTTGAGCAATAAGAAGTATGGGAAGGGGACACCTGGGTGGCTCAGATGGTTAAGCGTCTGACTCTTGATTTCAGCTCAGGTCATGATCTCAAAGTTCTGGGATACAGCCCCGAACTGGGCTCTGTGCTGGGCATGGAGTCTGCTTAAGATTCTCTGTCCCTCTGCCCCTCCCCCTCCAAAAAAAAAAAAAGAAGAAGTTTGGGAGAAGTCAGTTTAGGCTGGTACTATGGCTCAACAATGTCATCAAGATCAAGACCCACCCTTCCAAGTTCCAGCTTTGCCATTTTTAATACCTGGTCCTATCTTTGTTGTTGTAGTTGGCTGCTTCCCTTTCAGGCACTGCACCTAAGTTCCCAGCAGCAAGAAGCAGAAAGGGGCCAAAGCTGTTGGGGTATACTAGCCAAGTGTGTCCTCCTCACTAAGCTTTCAAGAAAGCCCCCATCCAGGGCGCCTGGGTGGCTCAGTTGGTTAAGCGACTGCCTTCAGCTCAGGTCATGATCCTGGAGTCCCGGGATCGAGTCCCGCATCGGGCTCCCTGCTCAGCAGGAAGTCTGCTTCCCCCTCTGATGCTCCCCCGTCTCATGCTCTCTCTGTCTCTATCTCATTCTCTCTCTCAAATAAATAAATAAATAAAATCTTTAAAAAAAAAAGAAAGCCCCCATCCAACAACATCCACTTATATCATTATAAGACCTGAGTCCCATGGCCACTCTAGGCTGTTAAGGGAGTCTTGGAAAGTGAGATGTCCATATTCCCATCTCAAACAAAATTGGGTTCTTTTAGTTAGAAAGGAGACAATGAATATTGGATAGGCAATCAGTAATGTCTATCCCAATATTAAATTATATATTTTATGTAAAGTGCTAAGCACAGTAGTTAACAGCTCAATAAAAGTTGAGCTGTAATTACTGCTATTATTATGATTACTGTTGTTATTATTATTATTAACCTCTCTTACCCTCTGGCCAAATGGAATAACTCATATCTAGATATTCTTCTTACATTTCTACTATGCATGTATCTATCTGCTCTATATGTATCTCCAACATTATCTCTGCTTCAAGGTCCAGGAAAATGCCATTTCATCCAAGAAGTCTTTCCTGACACCTACTCCTAATAATAAGTTCTATGGTGGCAGAACCCACATCAGACAAAAACTCCTGTGTTCATTATTCCATTGAGCATAGTCTCTTAGAACACAGTAGGTTCTAATAAACAGTGCCTTGATAATTTAAGTAATTCATGTACATATTCATATCCACATTTACAGTCAGTCTTCTAGAATCAAACATGGCATATTCCTGAAATGTAAAAGTTAAACACTAGCTTTATATGTCATAAAGCTAGTTGTGGGAATGAGGCGATGAAGACTGTATTCCCCAAAAATAAGACGAAAAAACTATAAAATTCTCTAAGACACCATGCTTTTAAAATGTTGTAGGAGTTCAGATTATAGTTCATCAAATATTCCCTCCTCTACTATGGGCAGAGTCTACTTTTACCCATGGATTTGATCTTCACCATGTGACGGGCTATGTCCAAAAAGGTCGTTTGTGAAAATGACATTGCTTGTGCCACTTGACTCGGCTATCAAATCCAGTTATCTGCCACAAGAGGGGTATGCCTCAAGTAGCTATCCCTTCTGCCTGGGCCCCAGAACACATGCGGAGCAGACCAAAACCAAGTGCAGCGGACAGCAGAACTACCCCAGGAATGCAGCCTAGATCAGTCAAATCACAGTCAACCTAAAAACTCAGGAGTGTGAGAATTAATACCTGTTGCTATAGTCAAGAAGTTTTGATACACAGCAAAAGTTGACTAATGTAACTTTTATCAATTGATGTATTTCAGCATTTCTTACATATTAATTCACTTTGTTCCTTTTCTTCACACAAGAAAGAAGAGACTGAAGAATCTCTGCCTTTGGTACACCCAGTGATGTCTACCTTTGGATCAATTATCATTAATACCAGTGCTTTTCTATTTTCCATTTGTTCTGTTTTTCTAAAATAAGGAAAGTCACAATAAAGTATCAAGGAATAATTGCTGAAACTAAACCACTGGCTGGCAAATAGGTCTCCAATATAACAGCCAAAATGTTAACTTCTTTTTTTTTTAAAGATTTTATTTATTTATTAGAGAGAGAGAGAGAGCGCGCACAAGCAGGAGGAATGGCAGGCAGAGGGAGAAGCAGGCTCCCCACAGAGCAAGGAGCCCAATGCGGGACTCAATCCCAGGACCCCAGGACCATGACCTGAGCCGAAGGCAGACGCTTAACTGACTGAGCCACCCAGGCATCCCCAAAATATTAACTTCTTAGACGATAAAAGGGTTTATAAAGGGTGTCCCTAGTAAAACAAACAAAAATGTAGATTATACAAAGTTAACCTCACCAAAGTCAAAGACTATCTGTTGAGGTGAATTTATGGATTCCAACACCATTCATTTAAACTAATATTCGAGGGTATCTATGTGGGCAAACCATGACCATTGAGTTTCACCAAAGGGAAGACACTGATAAGGCTGAAGTCTTGTAGCCTTTCCAACATAATAAAACAAGAGGGCCATACTATTTCAAGAGAATGATTTTAAATACAATTATATTTAATTGCTAAGAGAAAAAGAGTCTTTGTAAGTGAAAGAGAAAATAAAATTCTAATCCCTTAGCAAAAGAAAAAAAAAGCCAACTGAATGATAAGAGCATGTATTCAACCAATACCTATTCAGAACTCCAACTGGAAATTTAAGGTATCAGTAAAAATAGAAGAGTGTGGATTTTGTTTTGTTTTACCTTCTTTTAAATAATCATCATTATATTTGGAACCAAATTTCCACTGGGCCAAAGCTGGCTTATTAGAAATATATAATACACAAAGTTACTAAATTTGTCTATTGGTGAAATGATGGCCTTCAGAGAGACAAAGCACACAGTGCAAAGGCCATTAACATCGCAGTGGATTGGAAACAGAATAGCACCTATCTATGCTGGGAGAGTCCATACTTCAGAACGGACACATATAGATGGCACAACCATATTTGAATTCAAGGTCACAGGCTCTGGGTCAGAGAAACCTGGACTCAAGTGCTCACTCTTACCCTAAACTGCAGCAAGATACATAATCCCTTTTAGTTTCCGTATCTATAATTTGGGGGTAATAATAACCCCTACCTCATAGGAGCTCTGAAAGTTTTTAAAAAGATAATGTATGTAAAATATCCACAAAGGGCTAGCATTTACAATAGCAATAATAATAGTAATAGTAATAATACTACCTTGACAAACCTGGCTCGCACATGAAAAATCCTAATCAGTGTACTCTGGCTCATAATCTGTTCACGAAACACTGAATGCACAGCTTTATATTCACATCCAGATACAGCTTCTATAAGGTAACAGGATCAACCAGTAATTTCTCTACTGAATTCAGGGAGAAGGGCACTGAAAAAAATAAGCCTTTCATTTATAGAGCACTGAGGAGGAGCTGGTCCTGCTGCCCACACTCCATCCACCCAAAAAGTCTTGCTGATGAAACCATGCTTCCTTCCATCACCATCCACACACCGCCCTCCCAAACTGTGCAGGGCTTTTATTAAAGCACAGAGGCAGACAGACAAGATGGCTCACCTTAGAAGCAAACTCACCTTAAAGGCAAACTCTTCTACCCTCCGGAAAGGCTCTGGCTCGACCCCACTGCCACATCCAAACTGACAGCCAAACTGTAAGTGAAGAAGGCAAGCCCTCACTTCCAGAAGTTGAGTTACACTGTCAAAAACTAAAGGCACCTCTTCTATTCGTGATAATCCTAATAAAGCATGCTTGTCTGCTTCAAAAATATCTTATAAACCCATTAACAGAGCCAATTACAACTGCATACTGAGAAAACAATGTGACTTTACAAGGACAAGAGTGACCATAGGAGACAAAGTGCCACACCCTTTTTCCAGATAGCTCAACAGTAAACGGTGTCTCTTATAAAGGAGCCTGCAATTCTAGAGAAATAGGTGGACAATTCTAACCCCCAACATACACCCCCATCACTGCATTTTTTACACATATCCATTTCATTTTCATTTTAAGCCAATGGCCTGAGCATCCCCAACTACTACAACTAGTGAGAGGAGAAGGAGAAGAGAAGAAACAAACACAAGTCAAGCATACTTGGTTCTAAGCGCATTTACGAAGAGTTTTCTTCCCGCTTGTCTCCCTCTCACAGCTGGAGCCTCATACCTGGTGGAAACCAATGGTTAAGTAAAACCACTGATTTAAAAAGCCAACCAGGAAACTAACCATGACAAGTGGGAGCTGCCCTCCTCTCCCGAGCGTTGATTGGTTCTTGAGGTTTTACCGGTCCCCGTTCTGCCCACATAAGTGGCAGGTGTGACTGTCAATCACAGAGGGACCTGACAATTCACCACTCCGGGAGTAAATTGCCTTTCATCCAGCAAAGGCAGGTAGCCGCCTAAAATCGATCCGCTCCTAACAGAGCAGACCCTCCCTCTCTGGCAAAGAGAAGAGAGACCCTTAAGTACAAAATAAATAAGGCCGGGCCGATCCGAGAGTTTATGAGCGCTGTTTTATTATCCCGCACCAAAGCAGCCCTTAATCTTCACTGTCCTAAGATGATCTTTCAAAGGCTCGGACGAAAATTTTTTTAAAAATGAAAATAAAAAATTAGGTACAACCTTCTAAGTACCCCTTTTATTGTAAAATTCGGAGATGGGGAGGGGGAGGCAAGGAATGTCGTTCAGTTTAATTTCACATCGTATTCGTTTTTATACACCACCACCCTCTACCCCTCCCCAGTAAAGCCAGCTTCATTTTCCCTGACACGATTTTTTTTTTTTCTTAATACCTTCCCCTCGGAGCCCACCGAGGCATCCAGGCACCCCACCCCCCTGGACTGGGGCTCCACCTTTCAACACTTTGTTCTGCTCGGGGTTCCCCGAGACCCTTGCCCCTGAGAACACCCCACCCCTCGAGGCAACAGGGGAAAAGCCAGGAGAAAGAGGGGGGAGCTGGAGAGAAGAAAGGCGATGGGAGTGAGGGTGGCTGCCGGAGAGGGACTGCGGGAGGTGGCCCGGGCCGCCGGGGCGAGCGAGCGGCGCCAGCGCGCCAGAGCAAGCCGTGCACTTGTTCCAATCCGGGGGTTTCTACATCAAGGCAAATCCGCCCTTAGGCCGCCCCATCCTTTCCCCCGCCCCAGAAAGCCCCGGTGGAGGCGGATGGTTCACCCCTCGGCTCCCCGCGATAACGCATTGCAGCTCCCCACGAGTGAGGGGGACCCGGCACGAGGGATGCCCGGCACCGGCGCCCCGAGGGAGCCGGGCGACCAGCGGCCCCGGCCCCGGCGTCGACGTCTCACCTTTCCGATGCTCGCCCCGGGGCCGTCCCACATGGATTTTTACAACCTCACGTCGCCCTGGCCCCGGGCGGCCGGGAGGAGCCGGAGCCGGCGCCGGAGCCGGAGCCCGAGCGAGCAGGAGCGGGAGGAGGAAAAGGTGGAGCGGGGCTGGGAGGGAGGGCACGGCT